TGAGAAATACATTTACCAAATATAGCTTAATTACCTGCACAGCATGAGACAAATCTGACACCAAACAGTGCCTCAGCTTTTCATCACTTCCTATTCCTTGCAAAACAAAGTCAGGGACATAAGATGAACAGTAGCCTCCTAGTAAGGATCTTCCAAAATTGGCAATACTGGGCTGGACAGAGTTCACTTCAACTAATTTTGACCTGCAAGAAAGGCATATCAAAGAGATGTACAACAGTAAACAGCAAATTCAGTTTACAGAGAGGCTTCATTTCCACTTTTATCATCTCTCTTCTAACTTCCATTCAAGTGCTTTTTAAAGAGTTTAAAATCAGCTTTTGCAGAGAATACAAGCCAAGATCACAATGCACACTTAGTACTTTTTTCCAGGCCACTGATCTCTCAATATTCCTCAACAACAGCAAGCTCAAGAGACACTTTTCCTACCCCTGATGCCAAGTTAGGCTACATTCCTCCAAACATGTGACATGGGAAGAGGCTCCATCCCTTTTAGGCTGTTACTGCTGAACAGTACTTACCCAGGGAAGGGAATCTCATATTCCTCTGCCCAGTCTTCTTGTTCTCCTCCATAATAGTTAGTGCCCAGTCTAGTGAGATCATGGCCTGTATCCTCACTCTCGCTGTCACCCAGGGCACTGTCTGAACTCTCATTTCTTGGAATGTCCCAATCAATTCCCGGGGCGACTTTTTTCTCTACGTTTTCTCTGTCCCCATGGGGGACACGAATAGAGATTTTCTCTCTTTGGTCCTGCTCATTAAAGCAGTTTTTGTAGGTCTCTTGTTGACCAGAGTTCACGAATTTACAAAATTCACTAGGTGGTTTGCAAGACTTTGTACACAGCTTTTTAGAAAATTCTAAACTACTGTTGTGAGCAACAAGGTCCGTAGCTGTTTGCCCTGGAATATCATCAATAGTCCGGGTTTCAATTGAACTGTCATCAGTGAAATACTCGTCAAACAGACTTAGGCTCTCAGTACTGTATGGGTTTGGGTTCCAGCTCTGATGCTCACTAGCAACTTGAGGAAAGGGTTCAGCTGTCCCGCAGTCTCTATTTTGGTCCTCAACAGTTTGTTTAGCTTCACAGTTCTGATCAGCAGACACTCCTGCCTCCGCTGCTGGCGGGCTGTGATGCCTGGCAATTTGTTCCACTACTGCCTGACTTCTCAATTCGATGTCTGAATCAGGTGACATGGAATCTCCGATGAGGAAAGTCACCTTTGTCTGAGCCTCGGCTGCGCTGCATGGAAACGTGTCGCAGAAGAGCTTGTCGGGAGGCTTCTTCTCCACAGCAATTCCAGGTGTCCTCGTCGCCCCTCCCTCCTGGCTGCCTGACTCCAGTGGGTCCTCACTCCTCCATGTGTTTACTGCTGGCTCCAAACCAGTTTCTGTCCCCACACATCTTTCTGGCGAAGCTGACCCTGTGCACACCACAGTTTTCAGTTTGGTGTCCAGGCAGGGTCTCGGTTGTTTGGCATCAACAGTGTCCTCCTGGCCATCGTCAGGAACAATGGTTCTGTTCTCATCCGAAGAAGTTTCCAGCTCTACCTTAGGAGTGCTTTGTGTGTCTTCTCTCTCTTGGTGTGAAACACCTTCTATGTTCTGTGCGAGGGAAATGGGACATTTGCAATATTTACAGCTGCAGTTGGGAGCTCTCATCTCTTCAGACTCTGTTGGTAGCAGGTTGCCCCTGTTCTTGTGCATCGTGACAAGCACATACTCAGATTCCTCTACTTCTCCCTTCTCCAGCGTGGTAGTGATAACAGTGCCGGGCATGACAATGGCTTCATCTTCTCCATTTTCTAGAAGATGTGTTTCTTGAAGTTCAGAGCATCTGATGAAGTAAGTGAGGAAGTAAAGCAATCTCTGGACCAGGTCATGCCTTTTGCCAACCACAACTGTTTTTGCTAATCTCACAGGTGATCCGATAGCCCCATACAGGTCACCTAGGATAGAAAACAAAACACACAATTATTTGGCACCTTTGAAATAAATTATTCTTCTAACAGCCAATTGTTGGGACCAGTTTTCCAATGCCAGGTCTACAGCAGAGAAATACTACAGCAGCAGAGTAATGACAACTATGCTGTATTTTGTTTTCAATAGGGAGAATCCCAGAGATGCTGTTGGTATCATCTGAAAGGTGAGCCACTGGTCAGGGAGACATCTGATCTCACACATCAGGAAGCATTCACACCACCTCACTCCAGCTTTGGAGGCTTGTGTCCTGGGATCCTTATATAGCCACGGGAGAGAGGAGGCATCTGCACCAAATTACCCTGGAGTGTCTGGAAACTGGGCTGAACTTTTACCCACAAGAGAAAGCTGTGAAAGAAACAAACCTATGCCAGGAATGAGGGCAAGAAGTGACGGTGGCAGGTGCATGGCTGAAGCCAACCTCCTTCTCTTCCCTACCTTGAGCTCTGCTGTGGGTTGGATGGGTATTCTGACTGCAGCCCAGAGTCACCTGGGGAAGTGCCTGTGTGTTCTGGAGGTATTAGAGCACTGCATGAATGCAGGGATGAGGGGACATGGGGCTCAAGAGGCCTCAAAGGCCACCCTAACCACAGTGGCTCCCTCAAGTCCCATGAGCGCTGAAATCAAGTCTTCTTGCCAACTCCTGGCCATTCCTGCCTGTACCAGAATAGAGCAACCTCACAAAACCTTCCCTCCCCTTCCCTAACCAAATTCCATGAGTGTGTGTGTGCAGAGCAGGACAATCTGACCTCACCTCCCCTTCTCTGCTCAGCAATTAGCAGACAGTGTGACCAGCTACTGCACTGTCTGGGCCTTGGGAGCTTCCCAGGCAGTTGCCCAGCCATGATTTCCTGTCCTGCATCACTCCATTGTATTAAGAGTTTATTAATTTCTCATCAAAAGATGGATTTCCTCAGTTTGCTCTTTCCAGAATGAGGCTTATTGATAGCAGCATCCCAAAAAATAAAAAAGGATTTTCTTACAGAGGGAGGATCAGAGGAGGACTGGAGTCCTCCATCAGCACCAGGGCAGGTGTCCTTAAGGGACCTGACATTGACAACTAAAGAGGGCTTTACTTTTTTGGCTAACGTTTTATAATGGATAATGCCTTAAGAGATTAGAGCAGATATAAAACAATACAGTGACCACCTCTAAGCCTGAAATGCACACCTTTATCTCATTTTGAATTAAAACATAAATAACCTGGGAGGGAAGTAACAAAATAACCTGGGAGGGAAGTAACAAGCACCGTAAAACCCACCACATGCACTCCCATTTCTGTAAAGCTGCTGGGTGGTGTGGAGGTGTTTGCCACATACCAAGTTGTGCCCACAGTGGGTTGTAGGGATGAGTTTTGCCCAGCATGTCCACACTCTGGGAAGAATGTTTTTCCAGGAAGATTCTGATGGGTGGCTGACCATTGGGCATGACGGTGGGGACCCAGGCCAGGTGGTTGGTCAGCACTGCAGTCAGCAAAGCTGGTAAAAACCTAAAAGCAAAATGTTCAACATGGTTTTATTTCCAGGTACACACTCAGGATGTAAACTGACAGCAGCTCTACAGTCTACATGGATCAAGGATTGCAGACACAACCTGACAAAGGTGGCAGAGCTCATCCCTTCAGTCTTGGCTCTTTGGGGACTGAAGGGGTGGCTGGACCCTCCCTGCCACCCCTGCAAAGCTCTATTTTAGAACACACATTTAGAGTAAAATTAAATACTTTAACTTTGTGGCATCTCAGTTCCTCTGTTTGGCAATAATTATAAGACTTCCTATTTTGCAAGTTTTATGTTGTTCAGCATCTCAAAACCAACTTATTTTGTTCACTATAGGAAAGCAGTGGCACTGTGTGGTCTCTGTACTCCAAGGAGATCCCAAACCCTTAAGATCTGTGGCTATGGATGAGAAGGAAGACTATTGCTATCAAACCTGCAAAATAGCTGGGTGCTGTGTTCTTTCACCTAACTGTAGTGCAATTTCAGCACATATGGCTGCTCCTTTTCAAAAATAAACCCTCCCAAAGTTCTGTAGCTCAGCCACAGAGGCTGTGCCCTCACATTGGCAAAACACTTTGCACTAGCTAAGCAATTAAGGTGAAAACCTTTCTGAAAAATGTTAACTATCTGATTTATTGCAACGATGGAGCATGGTTTCTGCTCCATGGAGGGAAGATTTCCCTTCCCAGTCAGTTTTCCTGGCAGGAGCAGTGTGCAGGAGCAGAGCCCAGGAGCCTCTGCACACCGACAGATGGTGCTGGCGGCCACAGAGGCTTAGGTGTGGGGAGGAAAACAGTAAAATGCCTCAAAATAAGGTAATTTGAACAGTTTACCAGCATCAGGAACCCTACAGCTTCCATGTAGCTATTGCCTCACTGGAGACAGCCAAAGGAGGAGATGAGATTTAAAACTGGATTGGAAAGGATACAGGGCTTAATTTTCCTCTTGCCTGCATCACTGTAAATCTTACTATATTTAAAATAAAGAAAACAAACCCAAATAAATGACCATTTAAATGTAACCAAGACATATAGGGCTCAGAATGGCAGGGATCAGAGAGGATAATCCCAGGAAAAAAGCTTCCACTGAAGCGGGAACTGATTTTAAGAAAACACATTTGAACCCCTCACAACTCCCTGTGGTTTCTCCCACTGCACTGGGGCAGGAGCAGGTAGAGCACACTGACCACTGTCACCTCCCACCTGGGGAGAGAAGAGATGACAAAGGTGGTGGCAGAGCTGGAGGATGGGAGCAGCAGCCCCTTCCCTGTGGCTGCCCCTTCCCACCCTGCAGCGAGCAGTGCCCTGGGGCAAACAGCTGGTCTGACAGTGCCATTCCCACCCAAACTAGTTTGTGCTTGTTTTAGGACTTCAATAGAGCCAAACACTTACAAAATTTCCCCTATTCATGCCCTGGGGAAAGGGGATGAAGTGTTGACAAAAAGAGTAAATTTATCAGATTCTCCCCAGTTTATCAGGAACTAATTTTCTGTTTTCAACACCTGCTCACGGCTGTGGCCTGAGGCCAGAGAGGGGAGCACTGATGAGCACATCAGTTCTTTAGGGGCATTTTACAATGATTTAGGGTTTAAGAGCAATTTGTGGTCAGACAGTATTACAGACACAGCTCTTCCTGAATGTCTAACCCTGCTCGTCATATGATAACTGATTCTGCAAGGCAGATTAATGCATTTCACAAGGCATGTCCATCCCCCCCTCCAGACATCCACACCCATCACACGCCTCCTATGGACACGCTTCAGGTGTTCAGCCTCTACCAAGATTCAGAGGATTGTGGGGGAAGCATGAATTTAATGAGATAACTTCTTACTTCTTTTTTTGTGCTAGAAGAAGGTATTTCTGGATGACCTTTTGATTCTTTGATTACCAGGATTTTAACAACCGATTTGAAAATTGGTTTGAAATAAAAAAGCACAACCACATATGTAATTTGAAAACGAAAATCCAGCATACTGGTTTTTAGAAGCATTTTCCATCAAGAAAGTGAACTCCTTCATGAAGCGATGGCAAAGCTGGTTCTTCTCTGGTGTCCCTGACATCATGGTCAGCCAGACAGGCTCCCCGATCCGAGGCATCGTGTAGAGATTGCAAATAGTTGTTCTAGAAAACAAAACCAAAAAATCAAGCAGGCTAAACAAAAAAAGACAGAGATCCCAACTCAAAGAATTCATCACAACATTTAGTTCAAGCTATCATTACTATCAGAAACAAAATTTCTCCCATCAACCATTATCCAAACCACGTTGTTCATTAAATAGTACAAATTCACCCTTCACCTCACAGGTGCCTCCTCCTGCACCTACCTGAACTGATCCTGAACACAGCAACATTCACTGTCACAAGCTGACACTGCCCTGCTCTGAATGCAGAGGGAATGGATGATTTCTTGTAGCTATTATCTCTCTGCTTTCTCTCCATTTCACTCAAAACATACTTCTGCTTGATTTATGACTAGGACAAGTTTATCTGTATCTGACTTATAAATATACCTGAACTTCCTCCTTGCTTTAAAAACTTGGTGTATCTCCAGGCCAAACTCACCCAAGTGTGGATGTGTAGAGCAGGGGCCAGCTCACCTCTTTAGCTTTAAATAGTGTATGAGAGTCAAAGTCACCCCATGGCTGTGCAGATTACACACTCACCCACATCCTTTTTGACTCTATAGATGACAGTAAATGTATGATTAAAAATTTGGCTCTGCTGTAAAATACCAGATTAAACCCCCTCAGATTACTGTTTAACTCCTCTAAAATCTAAACTAAATTATAGTTTAAAGTACAAAGCTGATGTTATGACACTATGGGAACCTCTATTTTCATCACAGTAAAATTGTAAGTCTGAATAAACCCAAAACAACAAGGGAAATGACTGATGGATTCAGGTTTCTCCCTACCTAATGCACTACTTTTTCTAGACAAAGTATTTTTGTTTTACAAGACAATGATTTACATTATCCCATTATCCCTAGTACCACCCCTGACTTATAAAGATCTTCTCTGGATATGCTAGTCTCAAAATTTATAGACACTTCCAGAAGTAAAGCCATGGCTGTGCATGCCAGGCAGGCAAACACACTCGAGCAGCAGCTGCCAAATCTTCAGTGGTTTAGTGTTTAAAGTGAAACTCCCAGGAAGTGAGAGCTGCACGTCAGCAGCACAGCACAGCCCTGGTACAGGGGCTCCCAGGGGAGGAAGGAGTTACCCCCAGTCATTTGGCAGAGAAGCAGCTGTACAGTGACAACACCCCAGAGCAGCTCCCCAAAGGGCAGTGAAGGTGACCGAGCCCCGTGCTGAAGTTACCAGGACTGCTCCAGAAGGAAGGGGACAGTGCAGTGGCACTCTCTGCCTTATTTCTTCTACCTGTTTTCATCAAATACAAAATCCATTCTGTGTGCTCACAGCAGTAGAAATCAAGCCTCAGCTCTTCAGACCCTCCCCTGCACAAGCATGATGAGAATGCCAGAAAACAGCCAGTGAGCTGGAGAGGGGAACAGCTGAGTTACCTTTGTGCTCCCCAGCCCCCCGAGGCCTTGCTGTCTGCTGGGTCACTCTGCTTACCTTGTGCTGTGGGTCCTCTCCTGCTGACAGACCTGGGCACGACAGTTCTGCCAGGCTAGACACAGGTGGGGCACACAGCCAGGGACACTGCCACACCACAGGGGACAGAGGGTCTCCCTCAGCACAGTGTCTTGGGGCACTAGGATTTCATTCCTCAGCCACAGCAAATCGGGACTAGGGTGGGATTATTAAGGGAAAGCTTTCTGCTCACAGCCCATTAACTGCAGTGGATGTTAAAGAGGCTCAAAGAAAAGGAGAAACTCCAAGTCCAGGGATTTCAAAGCTCGAGGAGTTTCAAAGCTCCAAACAAGTACCAAAACTTACACCCCCCAGACACAGCTGACCTGAGAAGCTGAAAATAAACAGCACAACTTAATGTAAAATACAGCTTATTTCTCCTTCCTATGCAAACGAACCCAAGCCAAGCCTCTTGCAGCTCGGCTGTTTTGAAAAAGAAACTACTTCTATCCTAAAACCAACCTATTAAAATATTTGTTTTCGTTGAAAAGATAGCCTGAGTCTTGTGATTCGTTATTTACTATTCTGGTAACCCTGGCTGCATCTGCAGCTGATAGTGTTTCCTCCGAGCCAGATCAGATTGCCCTGGCCGGTGGCCAGCAGGCATGTGACTGCAGTGCAGGGAACCCTCCATGCCAGCGCAGGCAGCAATGGCACAGACACCAAGGGCAAGGATTAACTGCTTCCCAGCTCTGCAAACACCCAGGGAAGCACTCTCCTGCCAGTTATTAAAGGGCAAAACCGAAAACAAAACAAAACGCAAAAAACCACCACTGAGAAACCCTCCCCAAACGCTACAGGGAAGTTAACTGGATTTTAAAAATAATAACCACTAAAAAACCTCATTGGCCCCTCTCGGCCACCTGCAGCAGCAGCCCCCTCCCCTCCCTGCCCCCAGCACACCAGTGTGTGAGGAAAAGCTCAGTTAATGACAGACTCTGCTCTTTTGAGGGTTTCAGGACATTTAAATTGGGTTATATTTGGAAATGCCTCTGGCAGGCTGAACTCCAGCCTGCAGCTCACAGGCACCTCAGCACACCAACAGAGTGCAGGGGCCATGGGAGACACTCAGGAGACACCTTCACATCTCACAGGGCTCGAGAGCCTACACGGCCGAGCCCATCCAAGAGACAAGGACATCCTGAGCAACCCCCTCCTCAATCCCTCTGGGCTCTGCCTGCCCCATGGGCACAGATGGCACTGAGGTGAGCAGCTCTGCTCCCACAGACACCACGGCACCGGCAGTGCCACAGCAGCTGCCCTGGGCACAGCTCCCTGCTTCACCCCCATCCACAGGCACCCAAAACTATCCCAGCCTTTTTCCTGGATTTTGGTACCAGACATCTTTCCCTGGTGCTGTACAAACCAAACTGAGAGCATCCTGCTGCAGCCCCCTTCCTCCCCAGGGAAAACACACAGACCCTCAGCACTTGTGCTCCCAGAGCTGCTCTGCTCTTTAGGAGCCACAACATAATGGCAAAGCTCAGCAGCGATTAGGGATTGTTTCAAAGAAAAAAACCAAAAATCAGTGGTTTAGGAAGCTTAATTCACATGCATTTGCCCCCTATCCTCATCCCTTCCTTCCAAAGATGAATTTTCCTTAAAAAGGAACAAGCAAACGAAGGCATTCCCCGCTGCAGGGAGTGCAGGAGTGGGCACCCCACGCAGGGAGCCCCTGCGACTCGCTGCCCATGCTGGCACCATCCAGCAAAATGCACCAGTCAGTTCACAGCAGCATAAGCTGCTTAAAAATTACTGGCAGAAAATAGGATCAAATCTGTCTGCCAGAAAGCAGAGAGAGGTGTTTCCCTGGGCCCTGCGATCAGTGTTTCCGTGCCAGCCTGTGTGAGTGCCACACAGGTATTAGTCAGATGCATAATCTGTGTTATCAATGTGCTGCGTTGGCCTCGGGGACTGAGGGAGCTGAAATGTTTATGCAAGTACAGTAGCTTATTTCATAAGTCATGTGTCTGCACAGCTGACATCCACAGAGAGTTCTAAGCCTCTAAGTCAAGTGTTAATAGCTAAACCCATCAGTGCTTTAGAAAATTAAAAATTCCTGTAAAGTGACTAATGATGCAAGGGTAAGCCTGGAGCTGGGCACCAAATCGATGGCAAATTTATCAACAGCATCCATTTGCAGGAGCAGCCAGGACTTCCAGAGAAGGCAGCTTTGTTTTATCCTGGATGAGACAATGAGAGCAAAGGAAGGGTCTGTTTTGCTGTCTTCTCCCTCTCCATCCTCCACCACCAGCAGGTAAATGCTTGCTGACCCTGCAGCCAGCTCCTTGCAGTACTCTGCTTGCAGGAACTGGGGTGACCTACAACCACAGCCCCTTCTTGGCCAAGGAGAACTTTAGGGTGGCAGGAGGTAACAACTGTCACACTCCCTCGTCCCTGCTCTGCTCAGCAGGGTAGCACATCCCCTGTGCCCCCCTGATCTGAGGTTACTCTGATCACCAGAGGAGTGCACATCAGCTACACCTGAGCACCTCTGAAGATCTGGGTTTTTTTTAAAGAAAAACAAACAAGAAAAGATTAAACCCCAAAACCAACCAGACTGCAATGAGTTAAACCAGCACAGGCTTACATTTTAGAATCACCAACCCACTGAAGTCAGCACCCTTCTTCCCTCCAGCACAATTTGCTAAGAGGGCAGGAATCAACACAAGTCTCAGGTTCACCAAAGGACTCGGCTCCTGACTTCCCCGTGACTTCAGTGGGAAAGCAGACGCCTAAAGAGATAATAGTGTCCTAAATGGGTTTGCTGAACCCGTGCCAAAGCATCTTTGCATCCAGCCTTCGGTATTTAAATATACCTCTTTCTTCTTACCAGACACATACTGCATTGCTTTGAAAAGCAAGTAGCTCTTGCATGTCACAGAAATGAGGATGACCTGCTCTTGCATGTCACAGGGGCATGAGGAAAGACCCTGCCCAGGCTGGGGGCACCAGCTGTTGCCCACCTCTGAATGCAATCCCTTAAAAAACCCAACAAAACCCAGAATTGCCAAAGGCTGCTGCCCCAGGAAATTCATTTCTGTGAAATTAAACTGGATTTAATTTACCTCGTTACACTATTAAAGAGTAATATTTATATCACCATGGAAACCTCTGCATAAATCTGGTGGTTGGACACATGCTCCCAGTGCTGGTTATGCAACGGCCGTGTCATGGGAATGATCCCAGCTCCTGGTGTGCAGGAGAGAACCAATCCACCCGTGTCTGCTGGGACAGAGCTTTCCTCCTCAGCCTGACCACGGCAGCCTTCCTCATCCCATCCCAGCTCAGCACTGCTGAGCTGCCCTCCAGGAGGAAAAACCAGCGTGGGGGATTTGGCCTTTGTTTTCAGGGTCATTCTTCCTACTTTTGACGTGGGATAGGTGCCCCTCCCCAGCCCTCTGGAATTGTTTAACTTGGAAGGACAAAGGAGAATGGGCAAAGTCCACTGAACATATATAGAGGGGGAATGTTTTGGGGGAGGATTTGGGAAAACAGCTGGGGAGGTGGTGTTAACAGAGGGTAGGAAGGCAGGGAAATGGCTCAGGAAGAGACCAGGGAGGAGAGGCAGAGCAGAGCTGCGGGAGCAGAGGGAGCACCGTGGCTGCTCAGAGTTGCTGAACTCGTCTCGGGCCCCTGGGCAGGATCAGCGGCTCCAGCAGTCACGAGCTCCCTCTGCTCCCTCTCTTGGCACAGCTTATCCCATCCACCTCTCACCGCAGGCCCACGTGCTCCCTCTTCCCTGCCTCCTGTCCCTACAGAATTATCCTCTGCCCTTCCTTGTGACTGCCTGGAGGTGAGCTTCTGAAAAAATTAAAAACACACTGTGCCTTCATCCTGCAGCACCACCTCACCCATGGCATTCAGGTAGTAAGCGGAATGGTAGAAAAGTAAGTGAACCCTCAGGATCCTTCACTGTTCAGTAAAATATGTCCTGATGTCAGGGTTTTCTTTTTATAACATCAGAGCACTGTCTTCTATAATGTCTTTAAAAAGCAGCTCTACACTGGTTGTAAAAGGAAGCACCCTGCCACTCCCATCTGAGACGAGATGAATCACTCGAAACAGACGGATTTCATCTTAATTCCCTCCCCATGACTTCAACTATGGAAAGAAAATACAGCTAAATGCCAGGGATGTGCTTATCTGTGTTACTTTGTGTATTAACTGTTGAACAGAGAGGCTCTGCAGGTACTGATAGCTAGAGATTACAGCACTGCATTTCACTGGGGGAGAAGATAGCCCTCCTTCTTCCTAGCTGGTTATCTGAAACGCCTTTAGAGCACAATTTAGAGCAGGGTGAGCTTTGCTTACACATCGGGAAAATACACAGTAGAGGAGGGTTTCCCTAACATGGCATTGCAATACTTTTTCCCCCTCTGAACAGGCCTGAAAAGACAATTTAAGAGGTCACTGGGAGCTTTGTTACCACTTACAGCACAGAAAACCTTGATCATCTGTGTCCTGTTCACACCAGGCCCTGATGGATACACACAACTGGCAAAATCTAAAAACACAGCCAGATGAGAATGGCTTGGTATCACCAGTTCCTTTGCTGTACTTACTTTTGCAGAAGACTTTAGGTATTGTAAGTTACTCATCCTGCTCTAAGAAGGTCCTTCTCAATCAGCCTCGAGTGCTTTTGAAGAAACAGACACAAAAGGCAGGAGACACACTGCTCACCTGAACTCATTTAGTGCATCCAGGATTCTGTTATACGCCAAACTCCGCTGGCTGGCGTCAGCTGATCTCCGGCTCATTTTCATAGCCTTGAAAACAAGCATTGAGCAGATAAGTAACAGAGAGCTACAGAAGCACAATAAATGGAAAACAAAGTCATGTGTTTGACTTTATCTTTCATGCAACTAGTCATGCAAACAATTTTTCTTAAGTGATAAAAAGATGGTACAAGCGCCAACTTTCCTATCTCAGGGAAGACAGGTGAGGCACATTTGCAGCCTCTGCTTCTTCTATGCTTTTTCATCATTCAAGGCATAACAGGGGTCAAAATTTTGACTGCAGTGATGCAATTCCTACACCAAAGAGCAAGTTGATCCCACTTTTGTAACAAGCAACAGGAGTCAGGAATTAAATCTGACAGGGCTGGGGGAACATACAGCAGTACAAGTGCAAGAATACAAAGCAACTGTGTTTACCTGTTCTATGGCACTCTTCAGTTTGTTCATGTGACTCTCAAAAAGAGGAAAGTGTGAGAAGAAGAACTCGTTAAATTTGTTGTTTTCATCTTCATCTCTTGAGAGTGAAAAAATAACCCCAATTGCTATCTTTTTCTTCCTAACAATTCCTGGGCTTGGACCAGAGCTGTCATCTGACAAGTTGAAGCTTTCATCCATGGACCTTGGAGCATGGAAAAAAAAGAGAAAGTTAATGTAATCCACTGCTTAAAGTTGTACCTTGGTTTCCTGTGCAATTCAGTCCTTGAACATTTAACTTCAACAAACACCTTTTGTTTGCATGGGTTGTCAAATCATCACCTTTGATAACATGCACTCTGATTTTTTACAAGCAACCATTAATTGATCCTGCAATCACAAGAGCTGGAACCGGATTTAAAGTCTTTGTGGGATCAGAATATGGTATTCTAGTTCTCTCCCATCTCTGCCAAGAATTTGTGTTTTGAGTAGGATTTTAGGGCTTCTTATCCTCAAAAATTCAGCCTACAGGTTTACATGTTGCTGAAGGCTTTGCAGTTAGTGCAAAACAATGAATGCCACAAGGAAAACAGAGACTAAAAAAGATCAGCCTGACTTACACCTCTGTAAATACCCCATGGAAAGCAACAGCGAGCGCAGATGTACATATGCAAGAGCAGAATCAAGCTGACAACGGGGGAAAATTTATGGGCAGCAAGCAGCATTTCAATTCCCAGCTCACCATCGAGGGAAGACCCCGTTCTCCAAGCTGGTAGTCTGGCTGCGACGCCAACGCCGCTGGTAGCTGCTAGCACAGCTTTTGTTAAACGAGGAGCCCGGAGATGGAAACGGAGTGATGAGCAGACTGCTAAGAGATGCTGCAATAAGAAGAGGAATAAATAAAAATCTCTCCAGAAGAAAGAGCATTTGGAAAATAACACCAGCAACTAAACGAAGCCCCTCAAGACACACTGGTGTTGTTTCACAAGTGCCTTCTCTTTTGCTTATCTACGTCTCTTATCTAAAAGTAACCAGTTTATAATGACATTAACAAGCCATACAAGCACTACAAGGGTGGGACAGTCCTGCAGCTTTACGTAATAGGCAACACACAGGCTGCACCTTGCTCAGCAAGCTGAATATTGGGAACTAAATTCTTCATAGAAAGGAGTAATGTTGACCACAACCTTTAACAGCCTTCCCAATCCTAACCCAAGTTCCCCACATACTGAATTTGGGGGGAGGAGAGGGGTGTTGTGGAGACAAGTTGAGTTTTTAACATTACCATCACAGAATCATCAAATCACAGACTGGTTTGGGTCGGAACTTAAAGCTCAGCTCATTTCATTCCACCCCCTGCCACAGGCAGGGACACCTTCCACTAGGCCAGGTTGCTCAGGGCCCAGCCAACCTGGCCCCCTTGATTTGGGAAGGAGATAACAGCAAGCATGGTTTAGAAATGCTGCAAGCTCATTTCACTACTTAGTCTGCTGTGCTTATTTGCAACTTGCTTCAATAAATGGCACTGCTCTCCTTCACCTGTGAGTGCCTAGTGCACACCCTCCACACCTGCACCGCTCGGTGTGTCCAGACAGGTATCATTAATGTCACACAGAACAAACCAGAACAACCCTATTTCAGCACTATTTGATGATGTGCAGAGATCCATCCCAGTGACAAACACTCCTGAACACTCTGCTGGAGGCTACAGGGTTAACACACGGAGCTGCCATTACCAGATCTGGCTATACCGCTGTCTCTGTCCTCATTCTGCTCCCTCCCAGGCATATCCATAGGGTTGCTATGAACTGTAAAACAAGGAATACCAATTAGCAGGGGAATATACAGTTCCTTTCTTGTTTGCAGATCTCCATGTAATTAATGAAACAAAAACATGCTCATTAATTCAGATCAACAGCACTGCACAAGGCCATCACCAAGAAAGACTGCTTAGCTGAACAAGCCAAAACACTTATCTGAGAAGCTTAGATGTGTTTTTCTCAAGTCTGTACACCTATTTTAGTACAAACTAGAACTGGTACATTTTGTTTCTTTACACAGATAGTTTTCAATGAAATTTTAATGTACCAGGAGGATGCTGGTCACATTGGTGGTACTCAGCATATAGACAAAAACCACCAAACCCCAAAATAAACACGATTAGATTCATATACCAGTTTTCTCAGGTAATATATATGTAATTTTAAAAGGATTTTCAATGCTGTCTTGAAGAAAATAAATGCTTTTAAGTTGTGACCAGTGCATTGGTTGTTCAACTAAGCCATAAACTGTCCAGATTCACAGTCTGCATCAAGATCAAAAAAGTGTCTCAGGCTCATAGTCTTTAAATGTGATTTATTTTACAAATATGTGTGTGAAATAAAGCTACTCAGCCATGGAAATAAGACCCAGCCACTAAAAGCAAGGAATGCCCATTTTGAATTAATCTGGGTTAGCTTTAGTTTTTACAGTTTGGTTGAAACCAGTCCAGATCAAAATAGCTTGACACTATTGTGAAATATTATTTCCAGAAATATTAAAGCCATATTGAAATGTCTAAGTTTCCAAAACGAAACAACACAACCCCAAAGAGGACTCTGAATGCTTTCTGTCTCTGGGGATTTAAGGAATGCATCCAAAGAGGTAAGAGAGCAAACATCACTGTCCATTTTGCACTAAAAAAAACCCCACGAAATCTTATTTCCAGGGCTAAACTACAAATCCAGAGAGTTTGTAACCCCAGCTAGACTAGCCCCACAGCACAGCACACAGCACACAGCAAACCTGCAAAGAAAGAGGCGCTCCGGATGAGGCGGAGCGGACCTTGCTCTGAGAATGCCCGCCTGGGGCTGCAAAGCTGGGAAAGACCTACATGGCAAAACGTAAAATACACAGGAGAGAATGAGGTTAGTAAAGCAGAACAGTCTGTAGGGAGGGGGCCAGGGCAGGGAGAAGATATGAGCCAACGTAAATGCAGAGTAACGTACGCAGGAGAACAGCTCTGAGGCTGAACAAGAACACTGATGCGAGGATAAGTCTTACAGTTGGACTGTGCAGTATTTATAGAATTAAAATAATAGACCCAGCTTTCCACTGTCTCCCATACAAGGATGAGCTTTCTCAAAAGGGCTTTTTTCTTTGAAGGATGAAAAATGATTAATTTATGCAGGCTCAAAGCCTAACTTGATCACAAACAGGAGATTCATCGTGGAGTATAATGTTTGTTTTAACATCCACACTGGTGGGGTGGCTGGGAACACTGGTGCTGAAGAGGAGAGGGAGGAAGGGAGAGAAGGCAGGCAGGAATTTGTCTTAGTAGAACCAGCAGAAAATTATAGGCTGAAGTAGTTGTTCTGAGCACAGTCAGTACATCAGTTGAGTGAAACGATCCTATAGAAAATACATGTTAGCAGTCTCAGTAGTCCATTTTAAAAGTTATACTGGATTGCAGATATACCAGGGAAACTGTATTTACTGTACACAGAGCCAGGAAAAGCACATGGGTGTTTTTAATGAGTTAATTGTCAGTCCCTCTCCTAAATTTGAAGCTAATGCTCCAAGTTTTCCCATTGTACCAAACACGAAGGCTGCACCTCACAGCTCCTTTCCATTCCCTCAGGCCTCCACTCATTAAAGGGAGCACATGACCAGCATATCTAAAAAAAGCACCTTGTAAATAGTTCCCAACCAAAACACATAGTCCCTTCTCCTGTGACAGGTGAGTCAGGAGCAGGCTCTGCTGCTGAGCACGGCTGTTAGAAATGCTGCAGTTACAGATTAACTCCTTTCCCTGCTTTACCCAGGGTTCCCTCTTTGCTCAAACGGGAACTGCAAACAAACACTGTTGAAAACTTGCACAGCTCAATCACAAAGAAAGTTTCAGCATCCTCTTCTAGCAGGCAGCCTCGTGCTTTTTACCACACAGCCTTGCTCCAAGGTGCCCACACCTCCTGGGCAGCTCTTGGGGCTGCTCGGAGGGGAAGAGTCACCCTCACCTCGAGCTGGACACAGGTGAAGAGGTGGCACTGCCTACACCTGAGTCACATCGAGTCCATGCCTAAGAGCTGCATTATCTGAATTGGAATTTGCAGTTTAGATCACTTTGGTGATAGAGCAAACCTTTGCCAAGCACAAACCACAGCAAACCCTAACAGTAGATGCAGTGAGCTCCTCTCTCTTAGATCAGGCACCTCCTTCACTGTGAAAAATCACAACTGAAGTCTGAAAGGAATACTGAATATTAAGAAAAATACCATCTTTTTAACTTTCCTGACTCAGTGAATTCAGGAAGCATTTAGCAGATAATAGGTCCTTGCAGCTTCAGCTGGCTTCCCTTATAAATGGACTGTTGGGAATTATTTTAATGAGGTATAAGGCTCATGAGCCTGAAAAGCATTTAAGCCCATGCTTAGGTGCAGTCTTATCAAGTCAGTGCGAAGGACAGAAGTAAAAACACCCAATAAGAATTAGGACCATGTCAAAGTTAGAAATCACCGTCATCAAATCCACTCCTTGCTTCCAACCCTAGAATAGCCTATTTTACATACAGCAATATTCTGGAAAGCAAATGTAAAAAGAGGCCCCTTACTGCACCTACGACAGACGTTTGCATGGCAAATCAACAGAATGAAGGGAAAGGGAGGATGTGCTGCAGAGCCATGGATCAGGCTGCTACACCAAACAACCAAGCAGTGAAGTCCAGTATCTTTACTATCAGCTCAACTGTTCCCAAGGGGAAAAGCCAAGACCTTTCCCTCTTTGTTATCTAATGTTCATGGAGCCTCCACCTACAGCTCTTCCACGGAAGCTCAGAACCACAGACGTCAGATGGTTTCTCAAGAATGCTTAGCTTCCATGGTCAGACAGAGACAGAGGAGAGAACACAACAATATTCTGTCCAATCTAATCCAAAGCTGCAGTGCAGCTGTGCAGGGTTAACTGAGACTCGTACAAAACACACGGCCACACGTGCTCAGGTGGGCAGAGTACAGAGCAGAATGAGAATTATTAACAAAAATAAAACTAGGGAACTGAGCCAGGCAGAATCAATCCTGCCTGACCTGAGATATGCTGCTTAGGAAGTTCTACAGATTGTTATTTTCCAACATTTTCTGTATTGAACTTAAGCATATCTAAATATTTCAATTCTGTGTTTTACATACACATACACAGCTGTGTATACTGAACTACTGTGAATTCCCTGATAAATCTGATTTATTCTCCCCCAAACTCCCCCAACATTAATCTTCTGTTACACCATTAGCATTTTTTTGAACATTTGATTCTATTTAAAAGCCTTTCATATTCTAAAATTTATGATTACTCAATTAAAGATATCAGGAAATAAAATCCATTTGTAATTACCTATATTCCCAAGAAGTCCATTCATAATTGTGCTGTGGTCAGGCTTTAATGTATTGCTGTCTTGATTAATGAACTCAAGACTGTCCTGCAACCTAGAGCAAACATAAAACATACAACAAAACCAGTGATTTGCATTTCAGTAGGACAGAGTGTTAGTTCATTACAGTGGGAGTGGAACAGACTGGGTAAAAACACAAGCTTCCACTAGAAGAAGCTTTCAAAGCCTAAGCTATGTTCTCAGGTGGGTCACTTAAAACACAGAGAACTAAACATGGAATCCTCTCAAACCAGAGATTTTTTAACACCTTTTTCTTCATCCTAGACTGAATTTCCCAGGTTGCAGGTACTTTGGTACCTTACAATATCAAGCTTCACCATACCAGCATTGAAGAAATGGTTCATTCATTCCCTTAGAGCAAACCGAGGTGAAGACAACCGTGAGGGAAAGGTGAGGACATTCATGACAGGATGTAATAAGAAGTTATTTTTCTAGAGAAAGAACCTGGAGGGTCCAAAAAAAGTCTTGTTCATTCATCTGCTTATGTGCAATAGCTACAACTTGTAAGGGACTCACGTATTCAGACTGCCATAGATGCTGCTTCCAGTGCGAGCTGTGAACACCTTGCTGAGCATGAGCTGAGGAGGTGAGCTGGAGGACAAGAGGGAAGATGTCAGTCAGACACACAGGGCCAAGACAGGCTTTGCTTTCCATTCCACAACCCTCCAGATTTTATAGACCTTAACATGATAGAACAGCCTTTTGTTTCAAAAGTGACATCAGAATAACTTCAAAGCAAACACAGAAATTCCTTCTACTCTGCCATTCAATTCATTACACATTAGCACTAAGGAGTGAGCACCAGCAAAAATTCATCTTACCGGATCTGGTGAATTTTCAGTGTGGAGCCCTTGTAGCTCATGGCCACAGAGCCAAACATCATCTCTCCAAGCATGTTGGCATCTGAGGAGCACCGAGAACCCTGCAAAAAACCAACCCACCATTTGTTTTCAAGCGTTTTGGAAGCACACTTCTATTAAGGCAACATACAAGAGAGGAAAATGCTATTTAAAAGATAAACATGCAAAATATCTTGCTAGAACACCGTTGAACAGTTTAATGGAAGATAATGCTAGCATAGAAAGAAAGTGATCTTCACATTGGCTGTGAGCTCAACCACTAAAACCATCCAACGAACCTAACCCATCTGCATGAGAGGATGCAGATTCCAACCTCACTGAGCCATGGGACTAGAGTTTTAATAATGTGATAACACACCTTGCTGAATAAAAAACAGTAAGCCTAAACCTTGTCTCTGCTTGACAAGAACAATCATCAGTTCACTGGAGATCTTAAGACAGACTGTGCATTGGAGCCAAGTTGGACCAGTGTTTTCTCAGCAAAGACTGATTCATAACTTATCCATGGACAGTGTGTTACATGGGGTCTTTCCCTGGTGCTCCTGTGATGATACCAGCAAAGAGCTGCAGCATCATGATGCCAGGCTAAAGTTGTGCAATTCCTGCTTCTCTGTTGGCAAGAGTTTGCTATAAGGCACTCAGGCTAAATACCAAGGAGGAACATCACTATGCTGCATCACAGGCTAGGTCAAACTCTGCAAACAAAAACCTAAAATTAAAAAATTATTCAGGGCAATCAACTGGAGATGATAGCTCTGCTGACAGTCATCTCATTTGTGTACTTTCAATGACAGAGATTATTGTCCCTTGTCCAGGGCTGTTTCATCTCTAGGCTAGCAAAGTATTAAGTGCTGGGTCTCCACTAATTTCAAATATGGTGATCACTCACTCACAGATCTCAGCCAGTTCACTGGTGAGGTCCTTTGGTACTATGCAAGAGAGCAACACATTTCCTTCCAGGTGTGTGTGATAACTCATAACACTTCCTTGGAGCAATCCTCCCAAAAGATCCCTAAAACCAGGCACAGAAACAACCCTGCATCTGGCAAATTCTAAGTGTCATGTTTCCATATTCCTTATCCAAGCTCTGACCAGCCAGGATCCTCACCCAGATTTCTACACAGGACTGGAATACAGAATGACAGAATGGTCTGGGTTGGAAAGGACCTTAAAGTTCATCTTGTTCCAACCCCTCTCATGGGTAGGGGCATCTTCCACAAGACCAGGTTGCTCAGCCTGGTGTTGAACACCTCCAGGTATGGGGCACCCACAGCTTCTCTGGGCAAACTGTGCCAGTGTCAGACAGTCAGCCCAGAGCATAAACAAGGACAGTGTCCCTACCAGAGACTCCTACCAGCAGCAAGGAGGGCTATGAACATCCCACTCAATGTTTCTGCTCACACTAGCCAGCACAACAAGGGCAGGAACGAGGAAATGCTCATCAGCCAAAAGGCAACACACTTATAACACTTCTCAATTTTTAGCTCTTCTCAAGCACTCTCAATTAAGATGATGATACTTTAACAGCCATTTTATTAACCTCTGAAATGTGCTATCCATGCAAGGGAGAGAGGGGATGACTAAAAGTAGCAACCACAGTTACAAAAAAGAGGATGCAATTGCAAGGTTTGCTAGTGTTCAATGACAGGGCAAAAGCTGATCATTAGCTGGGCCTCAGTGAAATTTCCATCTTTACCTCCCAGGATATCCCACTGCCCAGGTGCACTGGAGGCAGTACTGGAAAAACTAGAATTTAAAACCCGTCAGTATGACCCAGCAGCTCCAAGGAAATCCCAGCATAGATGTTAGGAAATAACAGGTTGGCCAGCATCATGAAATCTTGGCTTAAGAACACTGTAAATTACTACAGCCACACACTATGATTGTTGTTTTTAAATCTGTTGCAGATCTCCAAATGAAGGACTCAGTTCTGATTAAATGTCAAGCCCTTGATGGTTGGTTTTGATTTCAACTTTCTGCTGTTGTGAAAATCTAATTTCTAAAGCTGAGGAAAAATACTTTATCTTGAAGTATTGATTTTCTTCGTCAGGCAACCAAATTAAAGTGAAAATCAGCTGCTTTCAAATTTAATTATAGGGGTTTCCCTCTCCTCTGAAAGACAGACAAGCACTGCTGAAGGCAAAGAGTGTGATAAGATGTGCCCATGGCCTGTTCAGTCTGGCATTTCGTCTACACTTAATAATTTTACCATGCATAACAGAAGACACATATTTAATGCGTTTCATATGGAAACACTGTTACAGCTCAACTCTCTGGGCCTCTAATGGGGCAAAATAAAGGTCACTCAAGACCAAAGTAGAGTGCAATCAACTGAGGAAAGGGGTTAAATATTAAAAACTCAAACAAAAAGTAGCCAAGGAGCATCTGGCAAAAAGGGCACAACCTCCGGCACTGACAGGCTGGACACAAACCAACTCCCCAGGTCATAGTTACAAGCTCACATAAAACCTGATCATAAAATACCCACAAGTGTTTGTGACTGCACATTAGCATATTAGAGGTAGTAACATTTGCATGATTTGGAAATTATATTTCTGAATATATTTCCAGCAGTTAATATTCCCCTCACTGTGCATATTGTCCTGTCAATAACTAAGTACATCTGTAAATTAAAAACACAGTACAGGAATAAATGTCAGATTTTGTGATCAACAAATCTGAAAGACTTTCAGTCCTGACTGCACTGACAAGCACAAGAAGTAACACCAGTGTGATAACATGCCAATAATTGTGGGCAAGCTTGGAACCATGTTCTTCATCTTAATGGATTCTAATCAGGTTTTGAGGGATCTGGATGGAACATAATTACAAATATGGAAGCCTGGAACAAGACCCCTCTATTTCCCCTTGCAATTAAAGTTGCTCATATATACTCCAAGTGTATTGAAACATGAAAACATAAATAACTATTTTAAAAGTCTGACTGCATTGCATTATTTGAACTTCCATTTTGCAGCTCTATGAAAAAAAACCCAAAAGAAGTTATAAATACTGCAAATACATTAAATAACCTCTGAGGTTACAGACACAGCAGTTAGAGCGTAGGAAATGCCAGGCTGAGTGATGTCTGGACAAACTTACTCTGGCCCTTCTGCATATCTGATTCAAAATTTTATTGTGCATTAAAAAGTACTTGTATTTATGGCTCTCTGCTCACTTGCTGGGGAAGCCTGGCAGGAGTCTGATGAATGCAGTAGATAGTTTACAACAAATATGTTGCGGAAGACCAACTTCAGCTGAAAGTTTGTGGCACAGTCACGTAGCCACATGTCATTTCAGTTCAACTCAGAAAGACTGTGAGGAAATGGGGACTTAAAAGGGAAAACTTTCCAGAGCTTTAAAATCCACTGTCGTGCCAACCACTAAAATTAATTTCCTTTAATAACGTTGAGCATTGTTTGCAAAGAGCCTGTCTAGGAGGAGAGACACTTTCTGGATAATGGGGGGCATAATTTTTCTTGGGCACACAGTGCACAAAGGAGGTTATTTTGTGCTGGAAGAGAGCTGCTGACAGAAATGTCTCTTCCTTTCATAACCACAGTTAAATGCCCTTCCAGGAAGGGAGGAATGGAAAACAGATCTACAGCCACCTTACCAAAGCTGTGGAAAAGAGTGTGATGAGAAAGAGAAAGCAAGAATACACAGCTTGCCAAATATAGCAAGAGCTAACGTGACAGTGGGAAAGTCAGCACTGGAAGGTTCTTCGTTTCTATCTACGGGAGATTAAGACATCAGTAGTACTGTACTTCAGAGCAGGTTGTGGAGATAGCAGCTTCCCTCAAACACACAATTACTTCATTACAAAGAGTGGAAGAGCTTAGTTCTATTTTAGGGTGGCTTAATATAAAACACTTGTGATCCATGGAAGGAGAGATGACAGAAATATATCCGTGTCAGATGACTCTAGCTACTCTCATGGCCAAAATCTCTTATGTAAAATGGAATTCAAGTGCACTGAATCCCTTGTTATAAAGCTGTTACACAGACTATCCCTATAGATAGTGTGTCTCTCTGTTATTTCCCTGGCATTTAGCAATAAAATAAAATAAACTACTTCATCTACACCAAGATAAGATATTTGTGCCAAGCCTGATCGTACCAAACCAGTGTTATCACCTGGGTCACAAGACAGAACAAATGCCCTGGAGAAATTGCTGCCATTCAAGACATATCCTGAGAGAACCAGCTGGCTGGTTTTAGGCTTGTTCAAACCCAAAGCTACAGCATTAAACACTCCTGAGTCAGAACTGAAGTCTGATTCTGACTGAAAACTGCTCTCCCCTGCCAGCCTCTCATTTTGAGCACTTTAAAACAGTTGCTCACCTGCTGTTAGTATTTGACTTAGGTTTTGCAAACATAAAAAAGAGGAAAAGTGACTCACCTGGTATTTTGGACATTGTTCTTTTGGATCAGAGAAAGAGGAGGATGAATTGATTGAACTATCCAAGGAAGAAGAGCTGTCTCCTCCAGGCTTCAGTTGGCAACATTTCCCAAAAACTCTCACCTGAGCATCGCTGCAGAGTTTCTGAAATAAAGACAACACATATGACACACTAAGACCCATGGCCTGAAATCACTGTTAGCAGCATTGTACTTACTTGTTTAGGTACAATATTCAACAGCTGAAAGGCTTATGCCTCAGGAAAACAGTTAACAATATATATCTACATCCAGCAGCCTTGCTGTACAAAGGAAAGCTGAGCTCTTTTACTTGCAGTTAGCCAGGAGCCAACAAGTCACTCCAACTCCGTTTTCCTAAGGAGCCATCCATCTCTGAAGCTTTACAAATCACTTTTTTAGACCCAGGATTAGGAGAGAGGATGGTACCAGAGCATTTAAAGGAAGGATGGCAATGTCAGTAGGCTCCAGCTGTCTCCACCTTGCTCCCTGTGCCCGCCGGGGCAGTGGTGACACAGCAGTGTGATGGGCACACAGGGAAGGAGCAGTTCACCATAAATAATCAAGCAAGAATAACACAGAATTCAGAAGATTCATGTTACAAGGATAAGTGGAGAGAAAAGACTGTGTTTTTTATAGATGTCTCCCTAGCTGTGTCCAAGCCCCCTAGTCTTTTTAAGGAGTGGCACAGAGGTGATGTTCCATACCAGGGAATTGTGAGGCTGAAAATAGACAAAGCTGAAAATCACATTTAGTGTTACAGAGAAGCCAGAAGAGTTTCACAAAACGATGGAGAATCAATCCAAGGGGTGAATTCTGATAGAGATTCAGACAGTAAAGGGAGTTTGGAGGGCCCAGATAGAGCTGGAACTGATGTACAGGATGGGCAGGATCTGTGTCCACTCCACACATCACTGGCATGGGAGGTACTCCACTACTGCTTCATTCACTATTTAAAAATGTTTGTGATTTCCCTTGTGAATCTCAGCATCCCAAGCAGAATCAGCATCCACGTAAGTTAATGCTGTTTACACCAGCACTGGCACTGGCAACCCTCTTCACCTAAAGATCTCAATGGATTTTTCACACACTCGTTACACTTCAGCACACCCACGTAAGGTTGGCATTATTTACATCTGCTGGTGGGCAGCACTAGGAGACAGAAATAGTCTGCACTGCTCAAAATTCCATACTAACGCTTCCCTAAGACTTCCTTAATTAACATGTCCTACACAATCACCAAACCAGTAGGAGCAGGCTGGAAGCAAACCCTGCTGGAAGCAAGGTTCAAGGGACAGATGGAAACACAGAAGTGCTGTGTATGTTACAGCTTCATCTCTGGACTCACAGCTCCATGTCACAAGCTCCTCCTACATCCAAAAACATGAGCATGTCTCAGTCTTTCACAGCTGTGACAAAAAGGCAAAAAGTACAGTGTGAAATAGTCAAGGAGCAGGGTGGTAACTCCATGAGACTGCTGAATAATCAGCAACAACGGTCCAAAAAGATGACTGGCCTTGCTGCAGCCGAGAAGGTTTGATAAGGGACATGATGGGAATCCCACACCTCTATCTTAGGTTGCCCAGGTTACATTTTTAGGGACAGGTGACTTTAATTTGGCCCTAACTGTGGATGAGATTTAGCAAAGCAGAGGAAACTGTCTGGGATTACGGAGCCTCACGTGGCAGCCTGCACTGCTGCTCCCTTAGAGAGCTGCTGCCACAGAAAGCTTCAAGGAAAAATGTGCAGAGAAATCAGTAATTCCGTGGCAGAGGGGAGGGAATTGTTCACTAGTTGCTGAGCCCTGTGCTTGCCTGACACATACCAGTTTCCTCTCCTTACGACATGGTGAGCACGTTGCATTATTGCAATATGTAGATTTGCTAATGGCAAGTGAGGATCTGTGGCTTGAGCACAGTGCACAATGGCTGGAACATGTGAATGATCATCATATGACTTCAGTAGGAACTCGTGAACTAGAATTGCATTTTATCTCTGACACAAACAACAATGTCCTAGGCTAGGCAAGCATCATGTGATAAAACCACATACAATCCACAGGGTTACAGCAGCTTTTGCAGGCAAACCACATTTCAGCTTGCATTTTCCATCAGATGTTGAAAGTTCCTTCTAAAAAGTTACAATTATAACTCAGGTTCATTGACATTGTACAAATGTATTTACTGGCTTTACAAGAGAAAAAACCCCACTCTGTGCATTAAAAAGAATAGGCTAAGTTTGCAAATTACTTCTCATTATCACTGCATTTTTCTGCAGAGCAGCCTTCCCCAGATCCACTGGGGAGTCTGGGAGCTTGAAGTAACAGTTGCCTAATTTAAACAGCAAACCAGGAAAATGGCTGTTTGGTCTTTGCAGTGAAGTTTAATGAACCAAAACTCCTGCAAGGTGTCTGTAAGGAGGTCAGAATCCTTCAGCTACCACTTTTCAGAACCTCGTGAACAGTAAATCCCTCCTAAAATGCAGATCATCGATGAATGCTGGTGTTTGCTCTTTTATAAACTTAGCATGTGCTTAAGAAGAACTTGTTGGACAATGAGATCAAGTACCTGCCATGACCCTCTCCTCTGCAATTTCTGACTCTAAATGTCAATGAAATTTTAGATGCTACAAATCTCAAGATATTATGCATCAAAGGAGCTGGGATTACTTGCATTCCAGTATAACATTCCAAAGATATTCAACCCAGGTTTCCAAAAATAACAAGGTATTTAATTATTTAAGAACTATACAAGGGAAAGTTTCAAAGTTGTGAATTTTCTTTCCAATTAGACATAGCTGCACCAAAATCAGATCCCTAGGCAAGGTCCTCTGAAATGCCTGCTTCTGCTGGAGAGCAGAACATCTGCTGGAAGGAAGCCACGGGCAGCTCTGCTCCTGGCTGCCACACTGCTCTCCCTGCTGGGGTCACACTCTTTGTTCTGTCTCTGCCAGCTCACTGCAGATACCACCCAGCTCCAAACAATCCTGGCAGTCCCAGTTTTTACATTAGAGGTCATCACTTGCTGAAAGTCTTGGAGACCTATCAGGTAGTTCTGAAGATTGCTTAGAGTAAAAGGTCTTTATAGTACGACAGGGTACAAAGTAGTTTTTTTTCCTCAGTTCTTCTGGAGTCTCTTTTCTCCACATCTGTCAGTAAAGACCTTTAACTCTCTGCCACAAGGTCTATATTCTCCTCCGTAAGTGGAAAAAGCATGCTCAGTGCTGTGCACAGAAAGAGGAATTTCTGCTGGGCAGGTTTTGGTTTGGGGCTACTAAGAAAGTTGAAAGGAGTCTGGTGTGTTGAACTAAATCAGACTGTGTGTAGGTGTGTTAGGGCTGTGAGTGGCAGAAGGAAAGAGAAGTGTCATCATATGCTTTACTCTTTTTTACCTCTCTGCAACAGCAGGTGCTCAAATACCACTGTGGTGGCAGAGATAGAGAAATCTGTACTTCCAAGCAGAGTTGCTACTCTTTAGGAGCTCTATACCTCATTTCCAGAACACATTTTTCAGCAAAGCTGAAGAATTATTTCAAACCATGTAAATTAACTCTTTTGCTGTATTAATACGTGTTGGTCTGAATGTACAGTTAAATGTATGCATCCACCTAGGACATGAAAGCAACCTGAAGAGGAATTCATTCTCCCCTCCAAGTGCTGCTGTAAAAATCCAGGTATCTGTCTTAAAACACAGCTGTCAAGTGCTGCAATCTCCCTTTGTTTCCAGAGTTGTTTAGTTCCTCTGTCACTCAGAGGTCAGTGAAAGAAGTCAAGACAACCCCGTGCTCCCCCACTCCACTAGTATTTTTCCATTTCTGTTCAGAGAGAATAAGCAGAGCTAAGAAGGTGGGACTTGATCTCTGTGCTTACAGCTTCATCCATCTGCTCAGCCTGGCTCACTGGAAACCTGTCCCGAGAGCCAGACAGAGTCCAGAGTCTCCATTTCACACAACTCACCTAAACGCAAAAGGCTCACTATCCAATTACTAATCCCTCAAAGCAATTTGCTGTTCAACATTTATCCAGTGCTGAAGTATATTAGAACACGTGGCTAATCCTGGCTTGTTTCAAACAGCATGCCATTTCTCTACTTTGGGATAAATATGACATTTGGAGTAAAAGAAACTGCCACAGTAGGAGATCAGATATCATATGACCTTTCAGTGAAATCATCCCAAAGATAAAGACAACTAGGTTACATGGAAAAGGTGAACTTTCCACCCTTCGAATCCAAATTCACTTGCACCTCTAGATCTCAAATTCTGCACCCCAGGTCAGTCTTTCACTTCTTCAGGAAACCTGTACAAACACTGTTTCTGAAAATCCTCTTCTGCCTCTGGGTCCTGGCAAAAAGTCACTGCTCTTCTCTGATTCCTTGTCTTTCTCCCCTTCCTGCAAAACATCCAAACTCTAGGTCCTTGTTCAGTGCAGTTTGTCTCTTCCTTTCCTCCCTCCTCTTCTTCATGGCCCCTTGACACTCCTCCTGCTTCCCTGGATTCTACACCTTCCTCTGGGCTGATCTTTAGACTTAGGAGATCTTTTAGCTCTTACATGTCCATCATCACCTCCCTCCAGTCAGATCCCGAATGGTAACCCCTGTCTTGTTATAAATCCCCAGTGGATAACACAAAAAGGAAAATGAGCCGTAAAACTAGACAGTTAATCCCCATCCCTGAACTCACTCCACCTGCTCTGAGGGAAGCTGTGACACAAGGTTCCCCTTCCCAGCTTCTTCTTTACTTCACTCCCCACTTCTCCCTCCTGTAACATCCCAATCAATTGCCAGCCCTTGGAGGCAAACTCCTCATACTTCAGCTGGCCTTTGCACACTGACATTTATGGGGACATAACTCACGTACCACAGAGTAAAACACACGCCAACCTTAGCGTGAGGTCAGCGTGGAGGCAGGATCAAGGTTGGGAAGCCAAGCACAGGGTCAGGAAAGGCAGAGCCAAGGCTGGAAGCTCAGCACTGGCCAGGCCACCTGGCTGCTGCACCTTAGCAAGGAAAAGGAGCTGCTTGTTGTGTTTGATATGGAATTTAAAGCAGGCCTGGTACCACAGCTCTAGGAGGAGCACATCTGTGTTCACACACAGCTCCTGGCTTGAGGAACTCAGTACACCCATGGGGGGATGTGTGTGGGACCTCATGCAGCCACAGAGCATCACACAGGGAGGAGAGCAGGGCTGGTGGCACTGGGGAGTGGAAAGCAGGTGAGGAGGTGTTGGAGGAAAAAGAGCAGACAAGCACAGAAATGAGTCTACTAGCAGAAACCAGTCATAGGATGTAACGCTATCACCTGCAAATCAAGTAATACAGTCTCATTAGGAACAAGACACTTACTGGTATGAGGAACAAAAAAAATAACTCTCTAGAGGAGACAGTGCCTCAAACCCACAAGCTTGCCCACAGTAGTACTTTGAGACCCAAAAATCCAAGGGATGTGGATGTTTGGGTGGGGATGGAGGCTGTTTAGCAAAGGCATCAGTTATGTGTGCTTCTCATACCACACACTGCCCTGGTACATTCAACGTGCAAATGCTTGTTCTGGTCCATTTTTTTAGTGTCACAGGGCTGGAAAGGGCAGCCACTCTCTCCTGGGATACCTTGGCAGAACTCAGACAGGGGAGCTACCCAATTTTCTGACGCTTGGGAGGCAGCAGTCTGTACTTCCAGAGCCTGGCTGATCAATAGCCCATCCTCTGGAAAGCTGGGAAAGAACCTCTCCTTCTCAACACCAAAAAAGGTATAGGACTCACAAAGGGGATCTCTCTGCCTCCCCCATGCCAAGTGCCCACAGCTGCCTGAGGCGGATCTCCACCAGGCCTTGGTGGAAATGCCTGGCACAGCCCTGGGCCAACATTCCCGGTGTTGGGAATAGCTGCCAGCCCTCCAGTCACCAGACTGCTGCTCAGCGTCCCTCGCCAAGTTTAACTCTAGCAAGACCTGGGGAAAACATGACTTCTCTGAGCAATTAAAATATTGCAATGGCCATGCTGCACACTCTCAGCTGCCTTCAGTGTGCTTCTGTGCAATACCCTCCCCAAATTCTTGTTTACCTAATAGTTAGCTTCACTGAATACAGGAAGAGGCTGATTTAATACCCACTGAAAACACAAAGTCATTACTTGTGTTATAGTCACCTTTCCCTCACAGATAAGATTATACCTAGTAATGCTTTACTAATTAGAGCCCAGCTTGGTGTGAGCACAAACTTGGCAGTTTCCACTCATCAAAAAGTCAGAGCTTACTGTTTTATTTCTTGTGTCTGGAAAGGTTTGCTCTGATGCTCCTTAATTTTACAACCATAACTTCCCTTATAGAATTCAAATGAGTAAGCCATGCTCAGCCTTGGTCTCCCATACACAACCCTTGACATATGTAAAGATTAGATATATAAACCAGACCAAAACTCTTAAATTTTAACTGCTTTCATATCTAAAAGCAACAGAAGATGGGAACTGAGGAGCACAGCACCATAAAACAAACTGAAACCCTCTTGGTTCTCCACATTAGGCTGATTAAGACTGCAACCAGAACAGTCTTGCCACTGCCAGGCACTACTGCAGATCTCTCTCCCAGTGTTATTTGCAAAGCCAGAGGTATAAATCACGTTAGGAAATGGGCTGGGGGAAGAGATGCAGAAAGCATTGGCTTTCATGGGGTGCTGAACAGACACCCTTTCAGAAGGGAGAGTGCCCAGCCCACACACAGCTTGCTGCAAAAGGGCAAGAGTGCCTTGGAATGTGCTTAGAGCCAAGATCTGACATTGTATAGGCAGGGTGTGTCTTTGGTAATGGAAATCATGATAAAGAGCGAGAAAAATAAACAATGCAATTCCTTGAAAATGGCCAGTACGTCCTGCTAACTGCACAAGCCTGTACTGAGCTCACAGCAAGCCAAGCTGAGGACTCTCCTGCACGTTCTTACCTGCAAAGTTTTGTTTTACGAGAAAAGTTTTGCCTGACGTGACATTATCTGAGTGCTGCTGAAGGCAGATATCACAGCAAGCAAATGTTTCAACATATTCTCTTTCAAAGTCTCCTAATACTGTGAAAAAGAAGAAATATATCAAGTTCCTAGAGATGAGTTCTGGGTATTTAAAATGCCTTGGGAATAGTCTTCCTCTACTAGTCTCATGTAGTCGTTTGACAGGGATAGTGACTACAGCTGTTTCCCTCCCCTTTTGCAAAGAAAAAGAAAGGAGAGATTAATACGGAATCATAGAATCATAGAATTTAGGGGTTGGAATGGACCTTACAGGTCATCTAGTCCCAACCCCTGCCCTGGGCAGGGACACCTCCTCACTAGATCAGGTTGCTCAAAGCTTCATCCAGCCTGGCCTTGAACACCGCCAGGGTTAGAGCAGCCACCTGGGCAACCTGTTCCAATGTCTCACCAAATGGAAACCATACTGGCTCCATTTTCAGCTGTTTATCCTGTTGCTGTTGAGTTGCCAGTCAATGATCTTGCTGAAATAACCCAAAACAGTGAAGTTTGCAAGTTCATCGTGCAATAACAGACCTAACTTGACGAGGTTTTAGGCTTTCAAGAAATTAATTTAAATATGGCAAGAGGATTTATACTGTATGGTTTTTATTAATGAAGTAATACTTCATAATTGATGAAGTAATAGCAATAAGCACAGCCAGCAATTCATACCAATAAACCACTTCTAAAGATTTCATCTTCAAAAATATGTTTTCCCTGTCAGAACACCCAGAAGAACAGGAACTTATAAAACCATTCTAACAATTTTAAATTAAAAAGAAAGCTGCATTTTTTTCAACATATGTTAAACTTACTTTACATCACAAATTCTCAATAAGATAGGAAATTTGGATCTTGATTCATGGCTGTAAAAGCACTAGAGTAAGCAATGAAGAAGTCTTGAAGTTCACGCCTGGTAAGATCCAAACTGACTCCAGAGGTTTGGATACTGAACACAGGCAGCACTCAGGATCAGGGTTAGAAGCATCAGGCTGGCAGCTCTCAGCAACAGGCAGGAAGAGTCTGCAAAGCTGGATGAAGAATCTTCTGGCTGTACTCCAATACCCAACAGGAAAAGCAGGGCTTGGGGCTAACATGTTATTTTGTGTACTCCTTATGAGAGGACCTCAGTAGGTCCTACAAGTAAAAGTAACTGGAATCACGAATTTCAGTTCACAACATGCTTTCTGCTTGCAGAGCTTACAATGGTTTGTGAAAGTTTTTTGAGATGGTAAAAAGGAAGTTCAAAGCAGTGAAGTAAGTTGTCCAACCTCACAGTACCACTTACAATAGCACTGTGGCTAGAAATTAATCTTCTGGCCAGAGCCCTCAGGAGGAAGTATCCTCATCTGACCGCATGCATTACAGTTTCAATTAATAGATTACCATGCAAACCATGCCAAAAGGAAAGACAGAGGAAAAGTTTTCAAGTAACTTTGTGTGAAAAAACTGTCAGCAAAGCTTACAAACAACAACTGGCAAAAGCTAACCAAACGGGACACAGGCCTGGGAGGACCATCTGATTAAGAATGCAGACCCCATCATGGCACAAAAGCAGATCCATAAACACCAGTTCATGCCCTGCCTCAACCCCCAGCATTGCCTGCTGCAGCCCCAGGAAGGAATCCTTCTCACTGAAACAGCAGAAAGTAGATGAGCTCAGGAGTAAACAGATCACTATAGTATTTAAAGCTGGTAAGAGTGAAATCACTGAAGCCTGAATAATTTGCAACTTAACAGGCATTTAAATATAGCCCTGTATATAACTGATGTTTAAATGTCAACATGAACAGAACAGAATGTATGTGATTTATCAATCTGCCCATTTGAAAAATACAGACTAAAAACATGTAAATGAGCAAAATACTCACCGACACTGAAACATCCTCTATTTTTCTTTTAGCACTGGAGTCAAATAAGACATTCCGTCCCCTTCTTTCGCAGTCCTGATACACGATCAGTCGGATCTGACTTGGGTCAAACTCCGGCAAAGGCCAACTTTAATTAAAAAAGAAAAGAGCAGAAGGATCAATTACCACAACTCTTTATTACACTGTTCTTTTTACATTATCTGTATATACAACTTGATTAAAATATAAAGTCAAGCAAATGCAATGCCAATTCATCAAACCCTTTGATCCTGCAGCCAGAACTATGCCTTTTGTTTTTCATAATTTCCCCTACATGTGCCAAATTACACTGTCATAAACAGCATCAATCCACTACAACTGCATAAAGTGATGTGCGCAGCATTAACAGAGCTTGTGTGCTCTGTATTGTGGTATGTTTTCTTAAAGTTCCAGCTATTTAAAATCAGTCATAGAAGAACTCATCTTTTGTGTTTAAAGGCAAAAAAAACCCCAAGAAAAATCATTACAGGATGGTTTGGATTGAAGACATCTTAACTACCTAGTTCTCTCCACTTAAGCCACTGTGACTCAAGGCCATGGTCAGCAAACCACACACAGCAGTCTTAACACACCTGTTCCCAAACTGGTTTTACAGTCAATGACCAGGAAAGGAGCTTTCCTGAGCCTTCACCTTCCCTAGTGCTACTACTGCAGAGGAGCTCTGCAAAGGGAGAACTTGCAGGCCTCAGGCTTGAGAATCATTGCATAGTCTTGCTTTTAAGGGTGCTTTGTAGCCATCACCTTAAACTTCCATTTTACAAAGCCAGCCATCACTTTAAAGCCCAGCAAGCATTGTTGCCCACTGGCTTGGGAATCCATTTTCACTGATACCTTCTCAGTTCTTGGAAGATGGGAAACAAGACACCTGCTCTATCCATGAAACCACCAGGAATCATCTTTCAGCTAGTTTACAAGCCATTTCCTAGATCAAGTGAAATTCTACCTTCCTTATGGTTGGCTTTTAGGCAAGCAGTGTTAGCATGAAACCCCAAGAAGCCAGAAACAAAGCACTGGAACTTTCCAGCCATTAATGAAGAATACAGGGTCCCAATTTACAAGAAGAAGATGTACATTTATTTCAGCAAAAAGACACCCAGAAGTGCTAATATGGATTACAATATCTCTTGGCATGCTAGACTCCACAACAACAGTAAACTTTCCTCCAACTCACCACTCAGTTTCCCTCTCTGTACCCACGTTCATGTGACCAATACGCTAATGACCAAATACAACCCAACAACTCCTGTAATAGAAAATCAGTTTGATCACCAAAGCCATCACTGCCCATCAGAAGTTTTTAAGACTGCCCAATATAAATACACAGGCTTTACAACTCGTGTAGTCCCAGGGAGGTGAAACTAAGCATCAAGACATAGAGTTACTCAGTCTCCTGAGAGGAAATCCATTTCTTAATCTGCTCAGCCCCACCATTTAGCAACAGGACAGAAAAACAGAAGCTGCAGAGAAGATGGTGTGCAACGAATGTCAAAATCAACTTATTACACGAAAAAACCTTGAGCAACTTGAAGCTGAAATAACTTGCTGTCTAGATTTGGGGGCAAAGAGCTGCACACCCTCTCAGATGGGCACCTAAAGCCTGTTTTCTGTAGAGGGACATGCCCACACGAAAAGCAGACAACTAACTGAGCAAATTCTGTACCAAAACCCAAGCACAGTGACAAACACAGCACCAAGCTTAAATTTACTGGAAGCTCTAATGAGCCCCATTTTGCATTTCAGAAAGTGTAAGAATCCCTAGTTTGATCTGTGTCAGGGTAATACCAACCGAGAGGCTCAAAGGCACTAGAGCTGGGGATGGTAACTGATAAGAACATGACTTCGGCTAGAGGTGAGGAGGACTGATGGATAAACTGCCTTCCTGGAGGAATCACTGGAAGTCTGAAAACTAACATTTTTTCCAGATAGGCCACTGTGGTTCCTATAAAGAATCAGTGTGACAATAACAACAAGTTGCTTGCCAAAAAGGTGCTATCGCTTGCTCCACCCTTGCAATGCGTTTGAATTTCCTTCACACTCAGACAAAAGCATGTCTTCCATTACCTAGTACTTTTGATATTTGACTTTGAAATTACTGGCAAAGAAGGGCAGTAGCTGTTCCAGATCTTAGGAAAGTCTACTTATAAAAAGCTCCAAGAGCAGATTACACACTAAGAGGAGAGAAAGCTAAATATAAAACTCTTGCTGTATTCAGAAACATATTTGATCAAGGTAACAAGAGCTTGTTTACTTCTCAGCTTCTTCACATGACATTTCAACTTTCACTAGACAAGCATTTAGTAGCTATTATCCATCATAATTTGTGATAATTCCAGAGAAGCGTTATCTCTGTTACATAATAGCATCCTTAAGCACATTTCAGCCTTGCAAAAACATTCCCTGGCAATAGCAGGCCACTTCCCAAACCAGAAGCCCTTTCAGAGAGCTGGGGGAAAGTTCATTTAGACAGACAGTAAACAGAGGCAGCCTGGCACCTCCGACTCCCTCCCACCAGCTAGGGGGAAGCAGGACACAGAGTAGCTCTGCTTTTGTTGTTAGCAGCTTTAAAATATCGTTAAGCTTGATATCTGGCTAGATTATCCCCAGAAACACAGAAATTCCTGCATGCAATAGGCAGGGCGCGTTCTCCAAACAAATATAACAGGGCAGCACTCCAGCGCTCCTCTTCAGGCAGATGAAAACTGACCTAGATCTTCTGAATATAATTAGTTCTGTTTATAAATGGAAACTAACTTTGACATTTAACTGATGTTTTCTTGAGATTCTTACAGGAAAACCAGGAGACGTGGAATCAAATGTTCTAGCAATGTTAATGAAAGGTGAGTCTCCATCTCCCACGCTGCTCTGGAAATGACAGTTTCTTAATAAGGACCTTTTCCTGCATGACCTATCTGCCACTCTTTGATCTTTCCTTGAAACTGATTAGATTCAAAGCAAAACACAAAAACAATCCCAGAACAAACAAACATAAAAAACACTGCCAAGAAAACCCCAAATGTCTTTCACCAGTGGAAGTGTTTGTGACTTTGCCATACAGTGCTGTGAGCTCAGGTGTGGAGCAAGAGAAGAACGAGGGATAAACAAATTCCTTCTGAGCAGGACACTGCTCCTGTGGAGATCTCCACCACACAAGTGGAGATTCTTCTAGAATAAGATGTTCAGAAGTATCTGTATGGGGTAGAAATCTGTTCATGTATAAATGCTGTATGGGATGTTTCAGAAACAAATCACATAAACAAATCTCACACCACGACAGCCTGGCTGAGGTTGGAAGGGACTTCTGGAGAACATCTGGTCCAACCCCCCTCCACAGATGCTAATACAAGCACAAAGTGCAAAAAGAATGGAACTATTTGGGATGGAAAAGGAAACTTCCACATGATTAATGATGGATTTATTGGAAACTACTAATGATGAAATCAAGGCCTGAAAATGGTATTTTAATGCATGTTCATACTTTAGCTCTACTGTTGTTCAGTTCTTCACCTCTTTCATTATCTTTGTTTTCCTGCCTCTTTTACCTTCAGTCACTAGGAATATTACCTGTAGCTTATATTTATGAATCCATTACATACTTCCTGACACCTGCACCGTGAGGTTCATGGCAATCCAAAGTTCTCCAAGGATGGATTTTCTCATGTATCCAATTCCTGGAGTTTATTATCACCACTGAAACTTCTCAGGAAAACTGAATGGCAGTAAATTGGTATTATTTCACTCTGGGCAAGATTTAATAGATGAAATGACAGACACAGAAATCCTTCAGTACAGCTCCATCAGTTAAAACACAAGATTTGTCCCATATTTGAATGTAAGTACATTCTTTCCTCCTCATTCCCACTTAAAACATGAACAACACTTCTTCGCTACATTAAAGGTTTAGCTTAATATTATTTTTCCTCCTGCCTAAGACTTCACTTTTAAAACTATTTTATATTAACACAACTTACATATTATCCAATTACTTTTTAATAAAACACAGATATTTTAGATTTATTAAAGAAAAGCAGTTGAAGCAAACTGATCAAAATGTTAAGCAGGTAGGAACTTAACAAAGTTTTCTAAAAAGTAAAGTTGCTCTAAAGCAGAATAGGACTAAACATTGCAAAAGTAAGTTGAAACTATCAGTCAAACTATTGTTTTCCTACATCATGTTACCCATAGTTATAAAAACTGCCTGGTGATGAATCACTTGGAACTATTTTTAAATGCATCTACGCAAATGATATTTATAGTTTATGCCAGCTTATCTGTTCTGCGTGGTTTTCATGTTAGCACCTTTTTAAAGGGTGACAGGAACAGCCAGGCAGAGCAGACGGCGCGTCCACCTTGCCCCATGCTCTCCTCACAGGCTCTGCACAGATGCAAACATCTTCCTTTACTCCTGTTAGATGAGCAGCAGAGCAGAGGCACAGGGATTCCAGGGCTTATCTCCAACTCCTACAGGTGACTCTCCATGTGTTATCATTGTTGCAGTTATGCTTAGACCCATCCAACTTCTACACAAGCATTTGACAGAGACTGTGTCTGTCCTGAAGAGCTGATGTAAATACCAGTGTTCCACTGTGTGCATTGGGATTTCAGATGCAGATTATGTCCACGTTCCATGGAGATGCACATCCACATCAAAGCTCACCTGTACCTATACAGCCCAGTAGTATTTAGGATTCTGCAGTTGCTTTGTTACAGGGAAGGGTGACCAGATGGAGAAGGAAAATGGTCCTTCCCTAGTTCAACCATCATATCATACTCCTCTCACCCCTGACTGAGATGCCTTTTCCAAAAAGGAATTCTCTTCTCCTACACAAACTCTTCTGTTACTAGATGTTTTTTTCTTCTGGCTTTGAGAAAATACAACAACAGCTGAGTATACAGGACATGCAGGGAGGGTATTGTACATATTTTAATACCTTCTTACTACATTTCAATAATTCACTTCTTACTTGACCATTATTGCACAAAACCACCTGTGCAGACCAGATGAAAGAGCACAACTAATCTGGAAGCAATGGAAACAGAACTGAACTGGATGTTAACGACACTTCCAGCTTTGGAAGACCATCTTTTTTTTTTAGAGGCATGGGCAGGTTATTTATTACTTTAACTCTACCACCTGAAACACAAAAGAACTTTCTCAGGATTCACATGACAGGGATGATCCATGTTGCATTACCAATTTGCAGGATTGGCATTTTGAGATATTCCATTTAAATGCTGGTGACATAACACAACCATAAGGCTGCAAAGAGGAGAAACTATGGGGCCTATACATAGAAAAAATTTTGCAAGATAATAGTCTTTGCAAGAGCTGAGGTCACACCAGGGCTGTGTGACTGTGGTGGTGAACACTTGCTGATTCTGCACAGAGCACCAGGGTTTGTGCCTCGACCACAGGGAGGGAGCCCTGGAGGATGGATTGCGAAGGAGCACGCCCAGCACGGCGGGTGACACTGCCCTCTGCCACGGTGACCTCAGCTGGGCTTTCGCAGAAGTCACAGGACCTGGATTCTGGGTAGCATGGCAGAATAGACAGACAGTGGATCACCTCAGGGACAACCACACTTGGCTGCTTGCGGCAGTGACATGTTTCGGGTTTATCACGTGGAAATAATGTTTCTTTAAAACAAAAAACCTGAATCCAAGCCTCCCCATCTTCATTTCTCGAAGGAGGGAGACACATCCACAGGCACTGCAGCAGTGTGGAAGTCAGCTCCATGCTCCATTTCTAAGTCTGTCTCATTCATTTACCAGCTTAGCAATCCTCACCTGGAATAGCTGCACTTCTTGAGCTCCAGGAAACTTGTGCTGCTTATACTAAGCACATATTGTACACCAGGCACAGTTGGTCAGCCAGGTATTTCACAGTCTGTATAATAAACTTGGACCTGAACTTCAATTGGCTTCCAGGTTCCCTGGCTCTGTCCAATTCTTTAAGTGTATACAAAGCTGCCTTTAGTGTGTTTTCTTTTTTTTCTCCCTTCTACCAAGTCACTTGACTCTAATTAGATACCTAATTTATACCCTAAAGTCTAATACATGAGCCAGATGCCTTTCCAAAAGCAAAAAGACATAATATTTACCGGTTAGGTGCAGCCTAGTCAACACATTAATCATAATCCGGAGTGTGATACTGAAAATAAGTTGGTTGGAAGGTTTTGTTAAAGATGTGTAGCATGTTGAGTAATTCTGCGATTCACACAGCTTCAGAATTTACAATCAGTATTAGTAATGTCATAAAATATTTCAGGGATTACTTCACTTTTGTCATTTCAAAAAGTACCTGTTCAGGTTTTAGCTGATTTAGGCACAGGTATGCATGCAAATATTTGCACATACACACACAAATTCCATGCTCTTTTGAAATACCTGTTTTAATTAAAACCACATACAAATGAGACACAGCTCCTTTCAGTTAAATTCACTAGCACTGCACACAATGTTTTACATTATTCAAGCAGACTGCACTTCCCTTAGCAAAATTACAACAGGCAGAATCAATTCAGGCAAAAAAAAATTATATTCGTGCCATTTAGCATAAAATTATAATGGGAATCGTTAAAAAATTATATCTCTCAAGGCTTCACATCTCTGGAAAGGAAGTATTTCCATCACGGGGAAAATAATAAGCTTTCAGATAATTAAAATAATCTCAGAAACTGTGCAGTGACCGTACCTGGGAAGCATCTTTGTCCCCCGAGCAGTTCCACTTTTCAAAATCCCTATAAACTCCTGTTGTGCCCAGCTGCCAACTCAGGTTAATAATAGCAATGAGCCATATTCATCCAAAACCACAAGACTGTCAGGTGACATATCAAGAGGTCTGAATTTAACTCAAACAAAAGACTCTCCATGCTGCAACGCAAAGCGCTTAATCCTAGCAACAGGATCACAAAAACCACCTTAAAGACAGCGGTACCGGCGCTGGCACCAGGCTGCGATCGCGCTGCCCCCGAGTTTCGTAACCCAGAGCCTGCCCCTCCATCCCGCACGGCCCGCGCTCC